GGGCCTGCAAGCAAGGCCTGGTATTTTGTACTTTCCGCGTTCGCCCACGAACGCGGCATTCTGATTGGCTGTTTGCTGTTGGATTCTATAATTAGGTCAGTGATTCATCACAAAGGCATAGACAAAGGCTCTCGATAAGCTTAAATTTCGAAAATTGATCACTTTTTTCGATTACAAATGGAACAAGAACAGACTGTTTATTGTTTACTTGAAGGAAGAGATGTTTTTGCCGTTATGCCAATGAGGATTGCTTGTCGGAATAGCAACATTTAATACGAATGGGGTATAAAACTATAGTAACCTTTACTTGAGTTTCATTAATTTCAAACAGACTTGATACGTTATATGTTCCTCAAGAAAATTATCTTTTGGTTGATGTTGAGATGCAGTTGCATGTGATGTAAGCCTATTCAAAATACTTTGCGATTTACAAGGCTTCGCTGAGAGAGCAAAAGATAAGACGGTATTAAATTGCCGTTTGAAACGAAACGATCTGGACTCTGAACGCTCTCTTCTTTTGTAGAGTTCTCACCAAATGAAATAACTGAAATAAATTTCGTACTTTCCGCCGCCAACAAGAATTGCACACACGATCTGATAAGTGAGACAATTTATTTATAACAATGGCGACAGCGAAGCAACATTATAAATGCTGATGTGGCGCACGACTTCCCTCACGATTTGAAGTTTGAGACTGGGTTTCTGTTGAAATTCGTCTTAATTTGCCTGTTCCGATTTTAGTTGAAAATGAGCACTTGTAAATTTGGCAATTATTGACTGCGTTGCTTGCTTTTTTGGAGTTTTAACACAGGCATTTACAGTCTTTACAAATTGTTTCTATTTTGAATATTAAAGCAGAGAAAACCCCGCAACACTATCAGTTCCCTTGGGCCTGCACGCGGGCTAAATTTGTATTTTCCCGGCCGTTTCAAAAATTTAAAAATTTGCATAAAAGATCTTTTTCGTATAATGATGTTTTTCTTCAATTTTAAAAAATTCTATTTCTGGATACAAAAGTGTTGTATAATGCAAAAACCCTATGGAGCCACCTTGAATAGTTTTTAATTATTATTTTATGACTTTTAAACACAGAAATCACTCGTGGTTATTCGTGGTCACTCGTGTGTACTTTTAGACAAGACCTATTCTTATATATCGTGGGAGAAATTATTTATTTAAGGCAAGCAAAAGAAACGTTACGACAGTGGTAAAACCTTGGCCGAAATAAGCCGAATTGCCGGTCCAGTTCATTTAGGTATCGAAGTTAATTAAGAAATGTGCAAAGTTTTAAAACAATTTACCGAAGGAAAAGGGTGAAATTTAGGTTTAATTTGGGCATTTTTTGCGAGATGTCACGTGTAACCCCCACCCCCCAACTGTGAAACTCAGACAAGAATCCGGTAAAATTCCAGTTAAAATTTTGATATTTTCAGGTAAAATTTGCGTGATAAAGTAATTATTTGTGTGAAATGATAACCATTTTTGTAAAATATACAGTCAATTTACATCCAATTTGTTTGCGAATTTGCTTTAGAAAACGCCAGAATTGCAGTCCTACAGCTTCAAAAATGGAACAATTTTCTGGGGGAGGGAGGACCCCCAAACCCCCGTTCTCTCCCGAAACGTCAAAGATGTCTGCAAGTAAAGCAACTGGTGTTGATGGTATTAGCATTGGCTTATTGAAAATTGGTATCAACGAACTAGCACCAAGTATTGTTAGACTTGTTAATCTTTCATTTGCAACGCAAGAATTTCCAACTTTGTGGAAGACGTAATGTCTATTTTTACATAATGACTATATTTACATTTCGGTTTTGCCTGTTCTTTCAAAAATTATTGAAAGGCATGTTTATGACAGCTTATTTCACTATTTGAAGCTGCATAACTTGGTTTATGCAAGTCAGTCTGGATTTAGGGCAAATTATAGTACTGAAACTGCGCTCATAAAGATTATTGACATGCTATTTAAGGAGATTGATATGAATCAAATTAATGTGATGCTACTTGTTGATTATCGGAAGGCATTCGACATGTGGACCATTCAATTTTGTTAAAGAAACTGGAATGCTATGGACTTGATAGTGCTGCTGTGTCTTGGTTCAATTCCTATCTCTCGGGGAGGAAGCAGTATGTATATTATAAGGGCACATCATCAACAACTAGGGATATTACTGACGGAGTTCCTCAAGGGTCAATTCTTGGCCCTCTCTTGTTCCTGATTTTTATTAACGATCTTCCTTTATACACTCAATCACAAACTGACTTATTTGCCGATGATACCATTGTTATTGCATCTAGTGATCGAGACCAGATTCAGGAGCTGCAAAATAAGGTACAAAGGGAAATGGCAAATGTCGATGAATGGGCAACTTTAAATAATTTACCACTGAACGCGGATAAGACGAAGATTATGGTTGTTGGAGGGAAACGTTCTACTGTTGCCACAGGCATTGATATTAACTTAAATGGCTCAAACATTTCTCAAGTGAGTAACGCTAAACTTCTGGGTGTGGGAGTTGATTCAGAACTGTCGTTTGATAATCGCGTTAATTCTACTTCAAAGAAAATTTCAAAGCGACTTGGAATTTTGAAGCGAGTCAGCTCATATCTTCCAATTCCTGAAAGAGTCTTGTTCTATAATGCAATGATCAAGCCGTTGTTCATGTACTGTAGTGTTGTTTGGTCTAATTGTAGACAAGACAGCATATTGAAACTTTTCAAGCTTCAAAAGCGTGCCGCCAGAATAATTTTAAATTTGGAACCACGGCATCCGTCTATTGATGCATTCAATCAACTTAATTGGATTCCTTTTTATGTCGAATAAGATGTCAGGAGGTGCATGTTGGCGCATAAACGTATTAATGGTGAGGGACCAGAATATCGGAAAGATTTGCTAGTTTTGAATAGATAGATAGATAGATAGATAGATAGTTTATTGAAATTTACATTGCAGCCATAAGCTGAATTAAGTAAAATTTACAAGAATTGATAAAAGAGAGGATCTTAAAACATGTTGGAGAATTCCACTATGCATTATATATGTACAAGTTAGAAAATACAATACCTAGATGCTAATTATGCCTAAATTAGGTTACGGTAAAAACTATTTCTGAAATGGTTCATTGTTTAAAACAGTTCTTGAACTGATCGTGTTTATACTTAGATTGCCTCATACTATTGTTAATTATGCCTTAATTGAATTACTGATGATAAAACTATTTCTATAACGGTTCGTTTTTACTCTTCGGTTATTGAATTTCGACTTTTCCGTAAATTAAGCGAGATATTGTTTTTAGCAGGCAGTAGTTCGTGTAATTTGTGTGCATCACCGTTCATAATATTTAGGAAGACTTTGTTAGTAATCTGTTGGCGCCGTAGGAATAGGGAAGTTAGACCTGATAATTGTAGGGCATCTTCGTAAGATTCTGTGGGGTAGATGATTCGCATTGCTCGTCTTTGAATAGTTTCGAGATCACTCGAAAGATACGTTGGGAGACCATCGTGATACACTGGGCAAGCATATTCAATTAAAGATCTGATGCAGGATTTAAAAAATTGTACCAATTTCAAACAACCCACTTTGGCGCGCTTTAACTGAGTTAGGAAGTACAATCTTTTTGAAGATTTTTTAACGAGTTCGCTAACATGATAATTCCATTTTAAGTTGTCGGATACATTCAGGCCCAGAATTTTGGCATGTGGGACAATTTCAAGGGGGCGTTATTTATCGTAACGGGTGGAAAGACTTTTTCCGATTTCGTAAAACTAATTCTCATTTCTTTACATTTGCGCTCATTCAGCACGAACTTTTCGGTTTTGGACTTGCGTACGAACTCATCTACGGTTGATTGGATATGACTTAACAGTTTCGGAGATGTTTGAGTCGTCCACATATTTCC